AACCAGGGGACGCGGATTTGTCATTGCAAGTGACCAGAGCCAGCCGTGAGATGACCCAGCTGTCAGTAGCAGGCTTTCGGCCGGCCAATGGCCAGCCGTTCGGCCCGCTTCGGCTCAGTCGAGCCGAAGTATATGCCTTCGGCTTGACCGAGCCGCTCTGCCAACTTCGGGAGCTGTACGGGCTATAGTGAATAGCCCGTACAGCAGCCCTTCGGTTCTACTGAACCCGAAAGCCTCCCATAACTGAAGCTAGCTGAAGGATCTGCCGAAGCTACGGCTGGATGCTTCGGCAGATTTGTGAATAGACCCCTAAGAAGCATTGTATGGTAATGAAAGGAAGCTCAGTCTGACTCATCTACTTTCACTTTCAAACCGCTTAGAGTAGCTTGGAATCAACATAAGCTGTACAGTTGCTTCCTGAGCTGTCCTTTTTGAATAATTTACCAAAATATGAATGTGTTGCGTATGCATGTGTGTGTGTGTGTGTGTGTGTGTGTGACACGTATGTGCATAAGATGTCCAGGACTGTACAAATTAACTAAAGTAAATCTCACATCGCTTTAGTTATAGCAATATGTTACTGAGAAAGTTTTATTGCTGCTCTAATGTTAGGCATATGTTTTTCAGTTAAAATCATTTAGGTTTAAAGGCGTAGTCCTCATATTATAATGATGTAAAACATAATACATGCACAGGCATTCATAAAAGGAAAATGTGCATTTATTTTTTTGTTTGTTTGCATTGGTGCCAATAAAGCATTGCAAGCACAATTAATTTCAAAAGATTACAGCAGTCTGCAGGAAAAGAAACCCCACAATTCACATACTGTGAGTAGGGGGGTGGATTAGGGGGCTGAGGATGTGATCATGTTTCATGTCATACTTTAAATATGTGTAAACATGAAATATGGTCTGAAAGGCAAACTAAGCATTTAAGTTGTGTCAGGAGATGAAAAACAAGCCACTTAATGTACAACCATATTTTTAATGGAAAGAAACAATGGGAAGCCTCTGCTCTTAATAAGTTGATATTTTATGTTTATGAGTCGTTATTTTAACATATCCTTAAACAACTTGTTGTTTTCAAGAGATAACTCTTGGAACAATAACCTGAAAATAGTGGGAATTTAGAAACAAAAACTCATGACATAAAAAATAAATATAGTGAGGAAAGAAAATATGTGCGCCATTAAAAATGAAACTCCAATGCATACATTGTGTTGCCCATGCCCCTTGGAGAATTTATACATTTACTGCTTGATTCTAGAAACGCAAAGCACACAGCTCACCCCTGTCATGCATCCTTGTAATCCACATTCGGTGCATGGATAACCCTCTTCTGGAGTGATTGTCTAAAAAACTGCAAAACCAGCACACAATGCTCTTCCAAAGAAAATCAAACTTTATTCCACACTTGTTGGGCTCGATGTTCGAGTTGACCAAGAGTTCGACTTGAACATCGCTAGTTCATGTGTTCAGCGAACACACAAACGGTCAGGGCATTCAGCGGTCTGTTTACCTGCTGAGCACCCCACAAGACACTGCGCACAGCGCAATGTCTTGTGAAGCCCTGATTGGCTAAATCCTTGCACCTGACCACAGTGCACTGAAATGCCATAATTGGGCAAAGTCATGATGACTAATCATGGGTCACCTTTCAGATGTCATACAACTGTAAACAGTTGGGTGGAGCTAGCAAGCTGTCATCGCTAGCTCGGCCCAATTGTTTATATTTTGCCAGCATCTGTCAGTATGCCATTCTGCTGCGGGAGTTTGTCGCGATCGGACGGGTCGGCAGGGTTTAAAAGAAAATATTTTTATTTATTTTCTCTTGTTTTATTTTGTCAAGTCGTCATCGTAACCAACACTGGATGTCGTGATTGATGCTGGATTACGACGGTGGACCCATTTTTTTTGTTTTTAAATAAAAGACTTGTCAAAAACATGTCTTTTTGTTTTTCAAATAAAGGATTTTTTTCTAAAAGTCTGGTGTTTTTATTTCTAATATCTTTTAACCTATTAGTGAATGGGTAGGGGTACAAGTACCCCTTACAGATTCACAAGGGAGGTACCCCAAAGTGAATAAGCCCCCCTGCCCGCACCCCCACAACCAATGCCGCAGGGCTTGTGGGAAGAGGCCCTTGTCCCCATCATCATGGCGACAAAGTGCTTTTCCAGGGACTTTTCTGCCCTGCCATGCCTCTGCTCGGATGAAGGGCCTGGTATGGAATCCCCCCCCCCATTTTGGGGGATGGGGTCCCCCTTAAAATTCCCACCAGACCGTAAGGGCCTGGTATTACTTTGAGGGGGAACCCATGCATTTTTTTTAGTTTTTTTTACATGGTGTCCCTCCTAAAATTCCTACTAGTCCTTAAGGGTCTGGTATGACTTTTGGGGGCAGCCCCATGCTTTTTTTAAATTGGGTCCCTCCTAACATTCCTACCAGACCTAAAGGGTCTGGAATTGTTTGGGAGGGGGAATTGCACTTTTTTTTTTCTATTAATGTAATTTAAAAAAATAAATGTCAGTTTTCTGCAGCAGGTTCTATACATTATACAGATGTGCCACTTTACAGGCAGTTTAAGGGGACCCCTCAGGCACGATTTTTAAAGGAATTTTTCATTCTTATTCTTTCACTTTAAGTGATGTTAAAATCACTGCTCCTTTAAAAAACGGTATTTTTTAAAAGTGTTTTTTTCATTGATTCATGTCCCCCAGTGCAGTACCCGAATCCCCCAACACTTTTTATGACCATTAATTTGCATATACTGTAAGCCTTCAAAAAGGGGATTGATTTTTTTTCTTGCAATTGATTTTTCAAGTTCGGGTCCCATAGACTTGCATCGAGTTCGAATTCGAAATGTTTCCATGTTCTAAAGTTCGAATTCAAACCAAACACGGGGGTGTTCGGCCCACCACTATTCCACACACATCTGTACCAAAACCAACTGCTGACGTGTTTCTACCTTACTTGGCCTTATAGCTGGCTATAGCTATGACTGAGGCAGAGTAAGGCAGAAACGCGTCAGTGGCTGTTTTTTGTACATGTGGAATCAAGTTTGATTTTCTTTGGAAGAGCAGTGTGTGCTGGTTCTGCAGTTTGTTATCCCTTGAATCTACCAGACCAGTGCAGAGTTCCAATTTCCTGTGATGGGTGACAACATTATCCCACTTCTTCTGAAATCAGAGCAGGGTTGTCACCCTGACATCGACTGTGCCTGCAAAGACCACCGCACATTGTGCTTTTAGCTTACTATCTATGGCTTGCTACTCCCATCCTTACTGACACCACTTGTAACACCCAATGATTTGCATAAAACAAGCAGGTCCAGAACAGACTCTTCCTCTGCCAGATCCTTTTTGCAGCTGGAATATGGAACCTGTGGGAATCTGGGACAGTGGAAAGGAAACTGTTTGCATATTTTTAGAGCCAAGTTAAAAAAACAATTTAAGAAGAATAGCTGTGATAATGATATAAGTTTCACATTTAACACAGAGTTTGCAATTCATGGTCTATGGTTTTGGAGGTACTTTAGTCTCCTGTAAACTGACTTTTACAGACAAAATATTTCAACCATTGATAATATATTATACTTGCTAATAAATTCAGCACAGCTGTCTCATAAAACCTTGAATTAAAAAGAAAATTGACTGTTAAAATGAGTGAAAAGTGCATGGTATTGAAAATATCACACGCTGTGCTTCTGTGAGCTCAAACTTCTGTTGCTCCTTCATTGAAGTGTCTTTCATGAAGCTTGAACATTACTGGTTTCCAAACTTCTTATAAGCTTGAGATAAGGCCACTGGCTATAGTCAGGCAGCTCCACAACATCCAGACAAAAAGGGATGCCCGGATAGACTTAGATTGGAAAAGATAAGCGCCAGAGCAGTCAAGTATCATAAAAATTCAATCTTTACAATTTGGTCATATTGATACAACAGCCAATGCATTTCAGGGCAGATGCATCCCCCTTCCTCAGGGCCTAGAACTAGGAAATAAAGGATTAGGAAAAAATGTTGTGTGAGAGGAACTGCTAAACCCAAGAACAAAATTGTCCTATAATGCAGCATACCAGTCCTTAAATGTGGCAGTTGCATTTGTTTAGGCTAGCAAAATATTTACCTCTTGATTTTGCCAGAAATGCAGTGTCTTGCCATTTGTTAGATGAAGTGGAAGCAAAAACAGTCGTATCTTAGTGTGTAATTAAACCCATTATCCCTCATGCAAAGGAGATGAACAAAGACAGATGTGTTTGATGTTCAGCCTGGGTGACAACCGTGTCTGCTTTAATAGATACAGTGAATGAGTGAGTCTAGCCACCCAGGGACAGAAAGTGTGTTCATACCTACAGTATAATACCATGTAAAAATAAAGGAACCAATATATTGTATAGATATAATTTCTGCCCCCCC